ATGTGGGGTTGAGTGCCCTTGCCTGCACATGCGCAACTGAGCCTTGGTTCCCTAGCCTATCCCGAACCCACCCCCCCCCCACCCCCCCACCCCCCGACCCCGGGCACCAGCAGAATGGTATTCACCAATCAGGACAGTTTCCGAGTCCCTTCACCCTTTAAAAGCAGCTGCCTCTGGGCCTTTCTCTCTCTCTCGCTTTTTTCCCTCTCACCTTCTCCTGCTCTCCCTTTCTCGCCCTCTCTTGTCCCCCATTCCCCCTTCAATCGAGTGCTCCAATAAAGTTGTGATTTGGGAAGAATTCTCGATTTCGTGGTCGTTCCCGCTTGCTGGTCAAGGGGTGCATCACACAGTAAACAGCCCAACCGTGTAACGCTTAGCACACGTTTCCATGGTTAACTGACAAGTGACACCATGGAGACAGCATGCAAATATCAAGGGTCATTGGAGATGCTCATCAAGGGTCATTTGGGATGCTCATGCATGTAGCATAGTGGTGTTAGAGGCTGTTCATTTGTTCCCAGCTACTCAGCCCAGAAATAATCCCACAGAAACTGTATTCATTAAATCACTGCTTGGCCCATTAGCTCTAGCTTCTTATTGGCTAACTCTTATATCTTAATTTAGCCCATCTCCATTAATCTGTGTATCACCATGTGGCAGTGGCTTACCGGCAAAGTTTAGTGTCTGTCTCTGGTGGGATTACATGGCTTCTCTCTGACTCCGCCTCCTTTTTCTCCCAGCATTCAGTTTAGTTTTCCCCAACCTACCCAAGTTCTGCCCTATCAACAGGCCAAGGCAGTTTCTTTATTCACCAATGGTATTCACAGAATACAGAGGGGAACCCACATCAGCATAGCAGACATCGAACTGGGCCAGTGCCAGGTCCTTTTAAGCACTCTCCTAGATAAGAATACTGAGGCAGCTCTGAAGGCCTGTTTGATCTCAGCAGAAGGAAACACAATGTAAGGAAACCGAGCTGTCACTATACAGCTTCTAGATTATTAGTAATGGGAAGGTAGATGGGATCTATTTCTGGTCATGACCTGGAGTTACAATTGCCTTGCCTGGCTGGTGGGAAGCTAGCCTGGTACAGCTTGGCTATCAGCAATCTTCATAATTAATCAAACCAAATTTGTATTTGGTTTCTAGACTGATTAGAGCAGTCTAGAAACCCTGCTCTGTATGTCTCCAATAAGCTGTGAGCAGGTTCATGAGGGTTTCACTGAGGCACACTATGTTATGTGGGTATCAGCAAGCAGCTACCGTGGGGGTACCTTCATGGCATATTATACAGCAATGCCAGGGAACAAAGTGGGCATACAGGCAGCAAACATGGACAGATTCTAAAAATCCTGACTTTTACAAACCAATATAACTTCCTAAAAAAATAAAATAAAAATAAAATAAAAACAAAAAACCAAAAAAAAGTTATGAATAGAATATTTGTAACTCACAAATACAAATGCAGCTTACATTTGGGAATTGTTGCCAGTGGAGAGGGTGGCGGGTGGTGGGTTTGAGGACAAGTATACAAATGACCTCTCTCTCTCTCTCTCTCTCTCCAAGTATGGATCTTGAACCAGAAAGTTATTTCTTCAGTACCCCGCTCCCACACCTTTCCAAAACAAATTTACAGACAGGCTTTTAAAAAGACACAAAAGCATTTAAAAACATGAATCCAGCCCAAAGTGACTTGGCACTGGTGCCCCACCCCAGAGTTTAGATCTATGTTTTCATTAGTTTTCTCATTGTTAGAGTGCCTAGAACGGGGGCTGTGGGGAACACAATGCAAGGTTTTGAATTTAGACCCCTCTTGGTCAACTGACCCGCCCCCTTGCCCACCACGCAGTCTCTCTGCATCTTACATAAGAGGTTTCTACATATGTGATGTAAAAAAGTGAGAACATTCATTTTAAAAGAGCCGAATCCAACACTGTGCAGAGGCGAGCCAGCCCCAGCTTTCCCACCATGGGGAGTAGACTGCAGGGAAAATCTGGGTATCTAATGCCCAGCATCCCATGCCACCCAAAATGACCATCTGCAGAACAGATGAGGATGCTGTGCTACTTTCTTAGACACAGCCAGAGGGAGAGTGCATTATTCCCACACTTTCCAGGAAAACGTTCTTTGCTAAGAAAAGGCAAACAAAGCAAGTGGCCATGTGACTACAACACAAAGGAATTAGTAGGGCTCTTTGTAGTTCTGTGAGAAAGGAGAGTGTATGTGCTACAGCCTAGGACATAATGCCTTACCATCTGCACCATTAGTGGCACAGAGTTTATATTGAATCTGGGCTTTGTCTAGTTGGTCCCTGCATTCCTGCTCCCCGGTGGCTTCTGGGAATTGCTCAGTACCTTGACGTTTTTGGGCTGGATTTGCAGTCCTTTGGGAGGGTTGGGGGCTACTTTCAAAATTCTGCTTGAGAAAACATACAATGAGGTGCCTTCAAAGAACTAGAGTTATTATCCTATACCTCTTTCTTTCTTAACTTCTTTCTTTCTTTCTTTCTTTCTTTCTTTCTTTCTTTCTTTCTTTCTTT